AAAAAAGAATAAATTGCTACTTTAATGGAAGGTCTTAAGTTGAATTCTCAACTTTGAATATTTTATTACTTAAATAATATTTTTACTTTTCTCTATATTCACAATCCTTATAACTTATATAACTTATATTAGTCTAATTAACATAAATTATTTAATTCTATTACAACAATATTAATTTATATATTTTATTGTATATTTCAAATTTAAACATAATACATCAAATATTATTTATTATTAATTAATTTTTAAATAAAAAATATAAAAATATTTATTTATCACATCAATTATTTTTTCTTCGAAAAAATAACAAATATGGTGTTTCTTCCTTTCTATAAAATAATATTTAATTTAAATTTACTTGAAATTTCTTTAAATTATATCAAAATCTCCATCAATTTTATTTACTTAATTATCATCAAATCGATACCAATTTTTATCTACCTTACAGTAAATAGTATAATGACCTGCATCTGGTATTTCTCCAAAATGTATTAAAACAGCATATAATTCATAATTTAAATCTTTATCTTCTTCTTATATTTTTATTATAGCTTTTAAATTGATTTAATCATTTATTTTAGAACGAACTCCTTATTGAAATTCAAATCTGTTAATTTACATAATTATATTTTTAGGTAATTTTGAAAATTATAGAGTACGAGTACTTTAAGTAGTCTTTTAACATTATTCACAATTAAAAGTAATTTATTCTTTCATTTAATGTCTTTCAATCATTTTTTCTATTTCATCTTTCATTTTAGCTTATCTATTGTCTTCAAAGTTTAAAGTAATATACATAAACTCTTCATCTGGACCTTTTGTTTGTTTTTCACAATTCTTACAAATAAAAGTAGATTTTGACATACCATAAAAAATTTCTTTGATTTATTTCTAAATGTATTAATTATTTTTATATACATATTCTTCTGGATCAAAATTATTTTCCATATCTTCAAATAAATGAACTCCAAATTCAGCTGCATCTTATTGTCTAACATCTGTTTTATATGGTTCTCTTAAAGATCTTTTTAATAGTAAAGGAGTGTAATCTATATCATCAGTCATTGAATCCAAAAATAAGAAACACTAATATTATTCAAAGTAATACTTTCAAAAAATTGGTTTTTAAACTAAATGGTTTTAAAAATTCAACAGTCTCTCGTTTGAATTCATTTATTATAAGATTTTTAAAATCCTTTGTCCAAAATAATGCTTAAATGAAACTATTCAAGTATCATACTAAATATTAGTGTGAAAATAAATAGTGTTTACTATTTAACAAATTTTTTAAACCAAATAATTTTAAGGTTTTACATTTTTCTTAAATTGATTTTCAACATTAAACCAAATTTAATTTGATCACCCTTAAATATATCTTATGATATTTATTATTGTATATAAATAGCTTTTTTTTTAATTTAACTTTTAAACTTTTATAACTTTGCAATTCTTTTTTATTAAAATATTTAGGCAGTTATGCAAGAAAATTCGAAATTCTCATTAATTATGAATCTGAATAAATTTCAAAATTCTTATCAAAATTTATTATGATATCTATATATATCTGAAAAGTGTTATTTATCTAATACTGAATCTCCCAATTACCATCAGGTGAAATTAAGAAATAAATAAATATATTTTATATTTAGTCAAGAGTATTTAAAGTTTTCATATATTTAAATAGATTAGAAATAAGATTTTTTCTTAGATCTCTAAAAATATCTGTATTAAATAATGGCTTATTAAGTAACACCAAAATTTAGCATAGATTGGAATATCCTACATTCAAATTTATAAAATCTTCCTAAATACTTATTGAAAAGATGAAATGTATTTTAACAATACCAAAATAATTTAACAATCTTTCAATAGCAATTAAATTATGCTAGACGAAATCTTTTGGTGTTTATAGGTGGATGCATTTAAAATTGATTCAATAACAATCGTCTATATATAGGGTGATATGGAATTCTCAAGAAGTTTATGCAATTTATCTAGAATTGATAATATTTGATTATCTCTTCAAATTGTAGTATTATTTCTTTTAAGGAGTAAGGCATTTAGAATGACATCAAAAATTTAAGTATAATGAAATGAATCAGATCCAAATTTTGGTGCTAATCTCTGTATACTCTTCTTTTGTTTCGCATTTCATAGCTTCATCAAGCAAGAAAGCTTTTTCTAATAAACCTTATCTAAGCTCTTTCTCTTTTGTTATATTTTAATTTATTATGGAAGCTTATATATTTCTGGTTAAGACTTTGATGATGTTAAATGATGCAAATTTATTGCTAATTTCATAAA